CATCCAAAACCAGATACAGACAGCCCCTGCTTTTCAGGAGTTTGCTCTGTGCCATTTTGCTTTTACCAAAAACCTCCATGAATGCTCTCCCTTTTCTCCCTAACTGAAAGAAATCTGAAGAGGTTTCATTTTCACCAAAAAGGTAGCTGCTTCTTCACGCCATGTCAGCTAAGAGAGGAGTCATAGGAATACTTTACTTTCAGATAGCAGGGGAAACCTGGGCTTGCTTTCTTTCCATAAACAGTCTCCTTCCTCAGACTTCGCAGAAAATGGTTCCATCCCTATCCACTCAACTGATGAAAGAAAACCCTTGAAGTCAGTCCTGAAAGTGCAATAGAAAATTCTCCTGTGAAGTGTTTTGGCCCCTCTCAGCTGCTCGCAGTCCGGTACCAGCCACAGGCGTCTGCATTTGTACCTCTGTTCTCCTCCACGTCGCAGCCAAAGTGATTTTTTGAATGTGCAAACCATTTTCCCTGCTCTCCCTGCTGAAAGCCCTTCAGTAGCACTTAGGTCAGCGTTCACCTCCTCCCCAGGCGTTCCACGCCCTCCCTGAGCCGTCCACTGCCCACCTGTTACACTTCTGCCTGCCTGCGGCTGCCCAGCCTCTGCTCCGCTCCTCAGCACCTCCCCAGTTCCTCCTCTGTGCTGGGCTCTTGTTGGTCACTCGGGTGCCGCTCTCTACTCCCTAGCGTAGCCCACTGTAGAAACCCTCCATCACATCTCTCTGTTTGATCCTCCTCACACTGTCACATGGTATGGCATCGTGCTGTGTTTCATGTGCAATAAGCTCCAAGGGCAGGGTCTGGCTCACCTCCCCACCACCAGTACCTTCTCAGAGTGTCTGCCCAGAGCAGGCGCTGAGTTGTTGTGCTGGTCTGGATGTCCATTCTGCTAGCTGTCAGGCACCCGTGGTTTTGTTTGAAACCTAGGAGGATTAGAATTAACCCCCCAGAAAAGAAGGGCATGGCATGTCGGAATGAGATCTCCACTCGGGCATCTTTTTCAGTCAGCAAGGTTGGTTAAAATGCCTGTACCAAAGAGGTCAGCTGAACAGCAAAGAATTGCTGCTTTTCCTCTGAGCCCCGCACTCCAGAACTCAGTCCAGTATTTCAAGATCTGTGTGGCCCTCAGGCCTCTAGCATTGCTTCCCTCTATTCCTGCAACCGCTCTTACTAGATTCCCTGGCGCATCCACTGTCAGCGGCACGTCTCTCCTGCACTGCTGAGGCGGAGGCCGGCAGGCTTAGAAGACGGATCAGTGCACAGAGAAGGAGAGGAGGCCAGGCATGGTCTTGGCTGCTCCTGGCAATCAAACTGAAGGTCGTGGAGCGTGATGATTGGAAACCAGGTGTGTTTGTGATTTGGAGAGACCACAGAAAAGAATTTTCTTTCTTCAAAGAGCCTATCTCCGTGACCCCCAAGAATCTCAGCTTTGAGGTGAGATGGGAGGAGAGCAGTGGGGAAGAAGCCTCATTACAGGCAGCGCCTTCTCGCTCTGGCCCCCGAGGCGCGCTCGAGTCCTCCTTTCCCTCTGCCTCGTGCTGTGTCGATGTCGGGCAGACTGCTGCTTTCTTGCGCGGGTCTCAGAACTGCAAAGTTCGCCTCTCCTCACACCCATCACAGAGCTCTGTTCCAGCCTCAGGGCCTGTGTTGCCTGTTGCTTTCTGGTGTTGATCCACTTTGCTTCCCAGGTTTGTGCTGCACAGAACGCCTGTGGGCTCTGCCGGGGGCAGAGTGATAACCAGTCACAGGACGTCCTCGTGTGCCACTTCAGACTCCCTGCAGCTGTCTGTGCTCTTTCTCCACTCTTCATCCCCAATTTTTAGCCGCTCCACCCGGCATGTGGGATCTTAATTCCCCAACCAGGGATGAAACCTGTGTCCCCCGTGATGGAAGGGCAGTGTCTTAACCACTGGACTGCCAGGGAAGTCCCTACTCTTTCTTTTCCTAACCATAGGTCTGGAGGCCTCTTGTGGATAGTTGTGACCGTGTGGCGGAGCTTTTTTGTCTTCTTCCATTTTTCCTTCCCTCCTCAACGGCCTGGATGTCAAGGAAATTGGTGGCAGAAAAGTAATTTGGGTTGAAAGATCAAAAAGATAACCAAGCCTATTGTGTCTAACCTGGTTCTGAAAGGAAAGGCTCAGCACATCCCTTGGGTTTTAGTGCTGTTAGCTTACTTTGTGAGTGACAGTGAAGAGCTGCGGCCTTTTAACCGGGCTCCATAGGGAATGGTGGCAGGAAGGGCATGTCCCCACCTCCGCCCCGCAGTAGACAGGGCTGAACCAGGCTGGTCCCCAGGAGTGCTGGGCACTGACCCAAAAAAAACCTTTGCACTTGTCAACTGGTGGTTCTCCTTGGAGACTGTGACCTGCTTACGGGGCCTGAAAACTTCCTGAGGCTCAGGTTAGATAGGTCATCTGCTCGGGCCACCTTACAGAGCCAGCCTTCCCCGCAAGCCCTTCCTCTTTCTGGAGCCCTTGGTCTCTTGGTCCCTGTTCCAGCTGTCCCGGGTTCTGAGGCTTGGGAGTGATACAATCAGGTCAGAAATGGGAGGCAAGAAGCCCACAATGCTCATAGTCATTTCTGGTTTTATTGTTTACAGAGTACTTCTCATGGTTTCACTGTATTGTCAGAGAGGTGTTGTAATTTTTGCTCATGTTTTCCAGCGAAGAAAAATGAACTATCCTGCCCACAGTCACACACACAGTTAATGCTGGAACAGCCCTCATCCTTGGCACCTTTTTGATCTCAGGGAGGCAGGGAGAGGCTTGTCCAGTAGAACTTTGGTTTCTGGTCCGCTCTTGGCATCAAGCCAAAGCCATCACAAGGCTCCTGTTAGCAGCTGCAGGTGCTATAAATGGGGGAGTGAAGTCGCCAGACCTGCCGGGATGGCCTTTGTCTGGGTTGCCCTTGAGAATTCAGTTGCCTTCTGCACATGCACCCCCTCTGCTGCTGGAGGCGTTCCCTCAACCCGAACTCTTCCTGCACCTGACTGTTTCGCACCCAGCCTGGCCTTGCTCTTGATGGTTTCAAGGTCAGCTGGACCTGACACAGCTTCCAGGAACCTGCGAGGCCATTATTTATGCTCAGTGAGCATCTTAATTTAAGTAGCACTTCCTCTACTTTAAAGGAAGGTCAAAGAGGAAAAACCACAAATGCTCAAAGCTGCCTGCTTCCTATTCTGTCCCCAGGCCGCGCTTTCAGATGACCCTGGCTGGTAGCTCTCCTGAAACATGCCCTGAAGTCTTCTCAACCACAGCCCCCCCACCTCTTTTCTATGGAAACCCTAGGGGCAGTTAAGCGAGCTGCTGTCAAAACTCTGACCCCCACTGTGGTCTTCAGCCAGGGCTCCTGAGCTGGTGTGTGGAGGGCAGCAGTTGTGAGGCGACACAGTCCATCAGTCAGTTCTGGCTCAGGGCCCCACTGGGGGAGTTGCGGGGCCTCTGTGGTGGACGGAGAAGGAGCTTGTTCTGTGTGTGTCCACTTCCCGCCACCATCTCTCCTGCTTTCTCACTTTATCAAAAAGGGTGCTCCGCCCCCGGCAGTGGCTTCGCCGTCTGCCAGGGAATCTGAAGCTGTGATCTGTATTTCACTGGCTAAATCTGACAGCCTGACCCTGAGGGCTCACGTCGAATTTACAGGCAGGCCGTGCCCTTGCATTTCCAGCCATTCCGGCCCCTCCATGGCGATTTTGACTCAGCTGCTGAGTTCCTGATCCTGGGCTGGGTTGTTGTCACAGATGCTGGTAACATGCACCGGAGAGCTCACTGCTTCTCTTGAGTTGTTGGTCCTCAGAGCCCTGACTGTAGAAGCTGGCTTCCCGAAATAATGGTGACTGCCATTTTATGGAGCACCTGCTCTGTGCTAGGCATTGTATATACACTATTTCATTTAATCCCCGCCGCAGGCCTTCAGAGTAGGGGTGATCATCTTTTTTTTTCCTGGCAGATTAAGAAAGAATTAGCCAGGTTAGAAGGCTTATTCAGAGAGAGCCAGCAAGTCACAGGGTCAGGATTCGGCCCGAGCCGCCACCCCGCCTGTCGGGAGAGCAGGGAGGGTGGGCTGCCCTTCACAGGGTGAGCTCAGCCGAGGAACATGGGGTCCTGAAGCTGGTGACGTGCTCACCACAAGCGAAATGACCTTGTCATCACAGATGCACGTTTTCCGCAGTGCAACAAAGGAAAGATTAGCACACAGATTCAATTATGTCTCCCATTTTCAGTGGCAATTTTGCTCTTAGTAAATTACTTGGCAGAGAGCCCCTCCCGCCAAGGCAAATGGCAGCGCACTTTGTGGCCAGAAGGTGCGTGAAAATGGAGCTGTATCTCACTCCCCTCGGTGCCTGCCAGCTTCAGCCTGGGACTTCCCTCCCACCGTGCCTGGCAGGCCGAAGTAGGCGAGGGGCAGGCCGCCCGCCTTGAGGGGACCCTGAGTACGTGGGCCCTGGGCGCAGAGGCACTTGACCTCGTTCCCTTGGAGGAATTTAGGGAAGCTTTCTCTGTCATCCTCACGGAAGGCCCCTGGCCCCAGGTGGGTGGAGGACACTGGAGAGGAGGGATGGGTGAGGGGAAGGAAGGGCCACCAGCTGGTAGGTGCCCGGACAGTGAGCGCTTGCCACTGCAGCTGCTGTGTGACCAGGTCAGGCTCGAACCCAGGCCTGACTGAGCCCTGATTTCCTTTAAACCTGGTTACACAATCACGTTTTCCTGCCCCCGGCTGCTAATGGACTTCCCCCTTGATAAGTTGTTGCTTTCTGTTTTTCATTTTACTTTTGTTCACCTCTGAACCAGAAAGTGCCTTGTTTAGACCAAATGAGTGGTCTGGACATTACTGAAAGAGTAGTGGTGGCCCCTCTGGGCGCTGCCCGTGGTCACCTGCCTGCATTTGCTGTCACCCACTGAGCCCCGGGCCAGGTGGGCCCCTCCCCCCAGGGAGAGGGGATGCTGCCGCGGAGGTGTTTTCTTACTCAGTCTGCTGACCGGCATCTTCATTTTCTTCCAGGTACATCGAGCGAAAAGCTTTTCTAGACCGAGTGGATCATAGGCAGTTTGAAATCGAGCGAGATCTCAGGCTGAGCAAAATGAAGCCCTGATGTGATGAGGAGCCCCCGGCAGCTCAGTCCTCTCTACAGCGTGAGCTTCTTGTGTGTCTGCGAGATGTTTCCTGTTTCTCATCGACTGTCTCCCAGCAAGGTCCTTTTTTCTACATTGACTTTCTGCCTTTGTATCTTGATCTCATGTGATTTCATTTGTTTTACTTTTAATAGTTTGTCCTTTCAAAAATAAAAATTAAAAAAAAAAGTACAAGTTGATCCTGTGAGAGACTGGTGAGGATGACGCCACTTGCCGTCCCTTTGTTCTGCTGCAAAGTCTAGGAGGCCAAGCCCATTCCTCAGGCCTGTCTTGGCCGCTGTGGAGAAGGGCGTGTGGCCCACTCGCCGTGGGCCCGAGAGCAGGGGCTGTCTGAGACGGGGCCCGCTGTGCTGGTGCGACGCCGGGCCCCGTGCTTCTGTCCTGACTGGGACTCCTCGCTGATACAGTGTAAGGATGTAAAGTAAGGATATGCCATCACTGAATTAGAGATCTTTCTTTTCCCTCAGCCATTCTCCTCTCCAAAGTCAACTTCCCGTGTGTTCTCACCTCAGTAATTCTTTGATTGGGGGTTTGTCAAAGAAAACCCCAAAGGACTTTTTTTTTTTTTTTAACTCTTTAGAAGATTTAAATTCCAAACTTCATATTAATAAAGTAGCAGACCTCACACCCCGCCTCTGGGGGTGGGCGGGCGGACGTCCTGAGTAACATGGACGGGGTTAAGGGGCAGTAGGGCTCCAGAGACTGGAGTTCAGATCCTGCCCGTACACCTACCAGCCCTGTGACCTTGAGCACAACTCCGCTTTCTGAACCTCACAGGGTGGAGGTGAGCTAGTGACACGTGCAGGGAACACGCGCAGGTCTCCGCCTCTGGTTCTCTGATACACAGGCAGACGCTCACGCAGCCAAGACCAGACTGTCAGCCCTGCGTGGTCCTGAGGTTCTGACCCTCGTTACTCACTGAGGCCAGGCTGGGTGACGGGGCTGACTGAGGTGTGTGCATCTTCGATACAGAATCATCTCTTCCATCGGAGTCTTGTTTGAACTGTAGCCAGCAATTTTTAAGAACAGGTGGATAACAGTTTATCTAGCTCTTCACATCCATGGTTAGTGAAAACTGATCTGCCTAACTCCCAAGGGAAATAACATCCCTTTCCAGGAGTAGGGAACTGCCAAGGAAAATGTCTGCAGGAAGTGGGGAGCCTGAGTCAGCGCTGGGAGACAGCTCGACAGTCCTTTGCCAGGCACCGGGCACCGCCCTTGACTGTGGCGGGGACGACTGAGGAAGGCGGCCAAGGACACTTCCTGGCCGGTCTGTGGAGTCCAGAAAATCCCTGAGAGCTGAGCTTCCTGGCCTCGCTCTGGCCATCAGTCTTCTCCTAGTCCCAGATGAACGCATTCGATTTCCAGGTCTTCGCGTACTTTCCCGTTACTGAAAAAAACCTGCCCTACAACAGCATAACGTCAAAGAAGAAAAACAGGCTTCTTTATGCGTTCTGTTCACCTATTTCCCAAGGAACACAGTGCTCTAATTAAGAACGCTGCATAAAGTCCCGGGGGAAAAGGGCAGCATTGAGAACTAAGTCTTGATTGAGCTGTGCGCTGTCGGAGCTGAGCAGAGAGAACTGGACAAACCCCAGGGCCTAAGGTCACGAGAACTGACCGGGCCAGCAGGCTGGTGGCTGGTGCCACAGGAGGATATGGAAGACCTCCAGGAAAGGAGTGGCGCCACGATGCTGCCGGAAGCCAGGAGGCACCAGGCAGGCCAGGGGACGGGGTCTCAGGTGCCGTGCCACCTCTTGGCCTTAGCAGGACAGAGCAGGTTTGTGTGGCGTGGGTCTCAGGCGCAGCTTTCTTCTGCCATTTAACTGGAATTGCTGAGGCATGTTGGGTAGGAGCCCATGACTTTTTCTTCTTTTTTCATTACTAAAAAGGAGTTGGTATACGATGGTGAACTCCAGGGGAAGCATTCAGAAGCTCTCAGTTTTATCAACAAAGGACAGGCTGGTCCCGTGTGCCTGATGCTTTCTCCCACTTTTCCTGACCAGGAGAGGAAACTCGCCTGAGGTCAGACTATGAAACTAACAGTGATTACATCCACTTGGTAGGCCTGGAGGGCAGGGGGCAGGCAAGATGAAACAGCCTCTTCTCACCTGCTGGATCCGGCTCCCGGCTGGAGGATTCACGTGGGAAAGGAAAGACTGGAGCGCAAGGGGACAGAAGAGCCAAAGGTGAAGGACACTTACACTTGAGAACAGTGACAGCTGGCACACTCTGGTGCCAGAAGTATGCCAAAGGCGTGGGCACACAGGCTTCAGCTTCCAGTCCTCGGTGCCCCGGGGCAGCATCGGAACCTCTGCAGGGGAGAGTGTGCGCCACAGTGCAGACCGGCTTGCCGTCTCCTCTTCAGGATGCTGCCTGCTTTCAGCGAGTGGGGGCAGGAGGGGCTGGTGCCCAGGTGACTTAAATCTTAAATGCCATCCCAGTGCATCTCCTTCCCTGGCGTACCAGTGTGCCCAGGGTTCCTACTTTGACAGGAAAAATCTTACCCTCAGAGTGTTTTGTTTTTTTTCTGCAGCCTTTTTGTTTTTTTATGCCGTCTCAAGGCAACTTAGATCCAACAGTACTACTCCCAGATGCAGTCTTTGTGCGTAGGCAAGTTGACCACAAGGAGGAGAGTGGGCTGTAGAAGTCCAGAAGATTCCGCCTGGTTCCCTGCAGCCTAGAATGGCCCAATCCACAGACCCTCCTTCCCAGGGCTCCTCTCCAGGGTCAGCCTGTGAGCTTTCATTAGTGTGCCCTCCGAAAGCTGATGGGGTGCTGGATCTCTGCTCAAGTAAGGGACAATGTGGCTGTGTTGGGGAAGGAAGGAGGGAAACTAACGTAACAGGAGGAGCACGCAGACAGTGGGTTTGGCTCCCTGCGATTCAGGGTGAGTCCCTCCCTCTGTGTCTTAGATTTCCTTGTCTTCAAAGTTTTCTGAGAATGCTTAATAATCCTGCTCTGCCAACCTCACAGCGTTTTATTAAATGAAATACACTATCCAAGTGTTAAGTTACTCTAATTAAATTGCACACTTGGCTCCCAGCTCCCCAAGACAGCCAAGCTTCTGTGAGTATAAATTAGCACCCCCTTGAAGAGCACTTTGGCGATGCCTCAGATCTGGAGCTGCACTCGGCCCATGACACAGCAGCTCTGCTCCTGGCTTGACATCCTGGAGAAGTGCCGGTGTGTGCACAGGGAGGCAGGCTTATTGGTGACAGGGAAAACCTCGAAACCATCCTCTGGCCATCAGGAGAAAGGGTCAGTTGTGAAATAGCCACACAGGAGAATACAGTACAGCGGTGAAGTGAAGGGACCAGGGCTACATGCATCAACAAGATGAACCCTGTAAGCAGGTTTGATGCACAGAATGCCTAACACACAGCCCCAGTTACACAAGTTCAAAAGCATGCAAACACAGGTGGTGGTTTCCCGACACTGAATGCACTGAATGCCGCTGAATTGTACATTTTAAAATGGTTAATCTTATGTTATATGAATTTCGCCTCAATAAAATTTTTAAACATGAGAAAGATTGTATATTGACTCTCTCTATATATATCCTATGTAATTATATATACACATATAAATATATGTAAACAAATGGGTGATGACACTAATCTCAGCATAGTGTTACCTCTCATGGGATTGGGAAGGTTATACAATCAAAGATAACAAAAGAGCTTTGTTTAATGATGTGGTTTTATATCTTAAATTGGGAAATGAGGACACATATTTCTTAACATTATTCACTACACCTGTCTATTTATAATATTTCAAGATAAAATGTTTTTATTATCTATTTGGCTATGCCAGGTCTTAGTTTTAGTTGCAGTTTGTGGAATCTGGTTCCCTGATCGGGGATTGAATCCAGGCCCCCTGCATTGGGATTAGCCACTGGACTAGCAGGGAAGTCCCAAGATAAAATTTTTTTAAAGAAAGGCAAGCCCATATTTAAATTTGCATCACCTCTGTCAGTCTCCTTAGGGAGAGAGAGAGCCAAGGCGTGGGCAGTCCAGGGATGGAGAGTTGCCATGGGGATGAACTTGCTGGGTGTCAGGGAGCTCTCTCTGTCTCCTGTTCTGGGCTAGCAGGCATTCCAGAACGATCCCTCCACGGCTGTGGAACATTCCCCAGGAGGAGTGATTCACGTATGTAGCTCCACCTCAGCTCCCCTGTCTCTGAAAGCAGGTTGGGCCGCTGGGGAAGCCGAGGGGTCGGAGCCAGGCCACGTGCCCCACCCCAGCGCAACCGGCAGTGCGAGTCCTGCTGAGCCCGCCTTCCTCACCCGCAAGACTGCACAGACGCACGCGAACAGGCCATATGTCAGAAGGATGCTGCGGCAGGCTGCAGCTTGTTAGATGCAGACAAATGGTTTCTGACCTGGATAAATGAGCTTGAAATTTAGAGGCTCCAAAATCAATTAAAGTCAGTGTCTGGGTCTTCTAGTGGAAGTCACCGAGCTGCCTGTCCTCAAATTCTGCCCAGCACCCTGAGCTGCCCCAGGCCACAGCTGTAACCCGAGGCTGCTGTTGGTGCTCTGAGCTCCTCAGGGTGCAGAGGCATGTGGCCGGGCCTCTGCAGGGAGGCAGGGAGCCACCCTCCACCCAGCCCCACTAATCTCTGCTAATGATTTAATGCCTTACTTCTTCCAGTTAACGCCTTTGCATTAGTAACCCAAGCCTGCCCGCATCTGAGGCGCCCTGACGGACAAATGGAAGACGTGTTTGAGTCCGGGCGCTCTCCGGGTGCCTGAGGTTGTGTCTGTGGCGGGGTGGACCCTCTGTGTAAGGTTACCTCATCCCTGCTGTTGTCTCTAACTGGACCTCGCAGTCCGGTTACAGCTCTACCATTGAGCCCCGTTACAGGACCTTTGGATTTGAAGTTGGGTCCCCCAGTCACACAGACACCCAGCCTTCCTGCACCAACAGTGTGTGGTGCGACCTGTGTGTGTGCTCTTGAGACCGCTGTAGACAACTGGTGGTAGAAATGCAGGTGTGTTTTCCAGAAAATTGTAAATACCTTATGTGGTATGATAGAAAATAAATGTATCTTTCATTTTTGTGCAGTTCCTGGCACAAAGCCCCTAAAACACTTGGAATTTACTGTCTGTGTGATAATGCGATGACACCTGGGGAAACCGAAGTAGCTTCAGGATGGGAGTCTGGTCACCAGGAAAACCACCCCTGTGACTAGAGGGTTAGAACTTCTAGCCCCTCCCCTCCCCACCACAACCCCCGATCTCTGGGGAGGAGAAGGAGGCCAGGTATCAAGCAATCACTGATGGCTAATGACTTAATCAATCATGCCAACACAATGGAACCTAAGTGAAGCCCCATAAACAGCGAAGTTTGGGGAGCTTCCAAGTTGCTGACCACATCCACATGCCGGGAGCGTGGCGCTCTGCTTCAGACCCCCCTGGACCATTTTTATAAACTGCTTGTAAAGAGAGCACCTTCCTGAGTCTGGCAGTTGTTCTAGCAGATTATCACACCCAGTGCGGGGGTCACAGCTCCTCATGTGCAGCTGGCGTCTGCAGTGGGCGCAGTCTTGGGTGACTGAGCCAGTAACCAGTGGGGTCTGCGCTAAATCTTGGTGGTTAGACAGGGCAGAAACGAGTTGTTGGACATCTAATTGGCGTTAGAGAATGGGCTGGACCCCATGTTTGTCTCACTCTTCCTTTGATGCCAAACATCTGCCACAGGAGACAGACACAGCACGACAGTCAAAGACAGCCTCGTGGGAGAGTCCAGACACTCTCACCCCAGCTCTGCTGACCGGCTGGTGCCCTCGGGTACGTGGCCTGGCTTCCTCTGCCCCCATTTCTGCATTTAACACTAGGAATCTGCATGTCACACAGGCAGCCCTGTGATTCCTATGTGCTCTGAAGTTTGAGAACATTGCTCATGGCCTCTCTACCTAAAAAAAAATCTGTAAGCCTCCAGCTGTGTCTTTAGGAAAATTCCATCTTCCTTTATTCTTGCCACTTCAAACAATCCAAGCTCCTAAAATGCTGACACACCAGCAAATCATAATGAGCCAGCCCAGGCTTCCTCCCTGCCGTTGGCTGAGACCCACCTGCAGGAACTTTCTCCTGCCTTCCGAAGTCCGGGGAGGGAAGCTCCGTAAAGTTACGGGTAACTGGAGAAGTAACTGAAGGAAAGTCTGGGAAATAAGTGAACATTCAAACAACAGAGCCCACCCAGTTTTCAGCAAACAGCTGCGGAGGCAGCACAGGGCTGCCAGGTTGGCGGCAGCGGGCAGGACCCACGTGCGCGCGCACATGCTCGCCCCAGCTAAGCCATGCTCTCACGTGCCAGCGAGGGTGCCCGCCAACTTGGAGGAGATGCAAGTCACAGAGGCACAGCGCGCCTGTCAGAACCAGCGCGCCTGTCAGAACCAGCCCCCCGCGAGGCAGACGCCCCACCTCCCCAGCCGCTGGGCCAGGGCCCGGCCCTCCTGCCGGCGGGGCTTTGCCTGCCCCGAGCTTGTCATCTCCTTCCCTCTCCTGAGGGACCTGTTTTCCCTTCGGACTGTCAAAGCCAACCATTCATCGTTGGAAAATCTGGAAGCACTGCATCTCCAGAGAAAACTGCTATATACATTTTGGGATTCTTTTCTGTCCATTTCCCTATGTTTTCACATACCTTTTCTTAACACAGTTGGAATTATACTCTACCTATGAAGCTCACTACAGAAGCTATTAACCACATGTGGCTATTTTAAATTCATTAGAATTCACAATTCAGTTCTTCAGTCCCACTAGCCAAAGATTTCAAGTGCTCACCAGTCACGTGACCGGGGCTGCAATATTGGACAGTACAGATATCGAATGTTTCCATCAGCATGGAACTCTGTTCAACCACCTAGTATCTGCAGTTTTGTATTCTTGTTTCAACCTGTGATATATACTGAGCCATGAACCAATTCACCAAGTCATTACCATGAACCATGAAAAATGTACAATACATCCCCATTTTTCAAACATTCTTTGTGATTATTAATGACTACATAATATTCCATTATATGCTTGTACCAAAATTTAGTTCATCAATCTTTGCTGGCCATTGAGGTTGCCTGCCTTTTGTTACTCTACATGATGCTGTGGTGAACTGCCTAGTCCTGGATCTGGACCTGCATCCCTGACCATTTCCAGATCACTGCTACAAGTGGAGTTGTCATGACAAGGAAGGTGCACGTTTCTTCAAGGCCTTGAAATATAAAGCCCAGTTGCCTCCCAGAAGGGTCTCCCTCTCTCCAGCAGGGCACTTGTGCCCTCTCTTCCTATGTAAACTCCCTGAGAAGACAAGATTCAGCAAGGAAACCCTTTCTGCCTGTTTGTGAGCACAGTGCGTTTCTGAGCCAGTGCTTTGGGCAAGACGTGTCCATAACCAAAGGGAGAATGGCCTGGGGAAGACTGGCCTTGATGGTCCCTGAGTACTAGCACCTTCTGCAGTTCCAGCCCAGGGCTCTGTCTCTGCAAGAAGCATTTGGGCTGGGCGGCTGTGATGGTTAATTTTTTGTGCCAACTTGACTGGGCTAAGGGATGGCCCGGTAGCTGGGAAAACATGTCTGAAGGGGTTTTCTAGAAATGAGTAGCATTCAAATGGATAGACTGACGAGAAGATGAGAGTCACCAGTGTCAATGGGCGTCATCCAACCCACTGAGGGCCTGAGGAGAGCAGCAGACGAAGGAAGGGCAAGTCTGGTCTCAGACACCCAGCTAGCCTCCCCCTGAGCACAGACACCCATCTTTCCTGTCCATCGGCGCTCCTGGAGCAGGTGCCTGCAGGCTTGCACTAGGACGCACACCGCCAGCTCCCTCGGGGCTCCATGGCACTCTTGAGCCTGTCTGTATCCTACTGTTTCTGCCTGTCTGCAGAACCCTAATGCAACAGAAACGTGCCCTCAATGACCCTGCATTTATCTAAACCTAGTTTTGTGGCACATTCATCTGTGAGTCGCTCTAAACATTTTCTGAGCCCATTTATCAGGACCTCCCTGGTAGCTCAGCTGGTAAAGAATCTGCCTGCAATGCAGGAGACCTTGGTTCGATTCCTGGATCGGGAAGATCCTCTGGAGAAGGGGTAGGCTGCCCACTCCAGTATTCTTGGCCTTCCCTGGTAGCTCAGATGGTAAAGAATCCGCCTCCAATGCAGGAGACCTGGGTTCGATCCCTGGGTTGGGAAGATCCCCTGGAGGAGGGCATGGCAACCCACTCCAGTATTCTGGCCTGGAGAATCCCCATGGCAGAGGAGCCTGGCGGGCTGTGGTCCATGGTGTCGCAGCGTCGGATGTGACTGAGCGACTGGGCACTGCCCACGTTCATCCTCTCCCTGCTCAGGGATAGTGAGCTTCGTGTGGTTAAGAGACAGAGCTTCACTTCACTCGTCTCAGGGTTCCCAGACGGTCCTGAGTTTTGGTAAGGAGGTCCACGTTCGCCTTAAGTTATCATTCACAACCACGTGGCCTCCGCCTCATAGGCTCTCAGTCTTTATCTTTCCTAACTCAGGCCCCTCTTCCTCTCCT